ACATTGGAGTGGGCTGCCCACAGGGAGGGGCATTCTGGTGATCCCTGTGCAGGGGATTCAGGTGCAGTTGTGGTTGGGCTGGACAGTCTCTGTGGAGCTCTGAGAGTCTTCTGGAATGCTCTGATTTTAGCAACATTGATTAGGCATGGACTGTGTGCTGAGCACCATATTGGATACTGGAGGAGACATAAAGTTTGTATGAGACGGGGCTTTGTTCACATAACCCTCTCTGTGTGTGCAGGGGGCCTGTCTCATTGATGTTAACTGGGCTGTGGAGGATGACAACTGGGGGCTTGGGCCAATAACATTAGAGAAGATCCCCTGAGCTCTCAGGGTGCCCAGAACCCTCACGGGGACTTGGAGCCAACCTAGTTCTACAATTGTGACAAGGGCAGGTTGAGATGGAGAGAAAAGTGTCAGTGCCTAGACAGTGTCCTGGCTTCGGGGCTCCCAGCCTGGGGCTCACTCCCCTGCCCAGAACTGTCTCCCCTCATTCTAGAAGCCTGGAACTGAAGGGTGTGTTAACTGAGATGTCACTGAGGCTGGTAGGGGGCAGGCCGAGGTTCTGCCTCACTGGGAGGGTCCAGGAGGCCTCCCCACTGTGGTGACAGCCAACCTAGCACTTTAAAGAGTGGTATGGATGTCCTGCCAGAAAGGCCCTCCATCACTGCCACCACCAAGTCCACTTTCTTCCTAATGTCAGTGCCCTGAGAGGCCTCCCCATCACCCCAGGACAATCATAGCTCTGGCTATGACCCTATAGGAATGTGAAAGCAGGAAAACATGGGGGGATCCACTCCCCCACCCACCGCTGTCCCTTTCCTGCACAACACCTCTCCCCACAGGCCTCAGCTAGGACTCCTACCCCACCCCCCAATAACTCAGAGGCCTGGGAGAGGCAGACAGCTGCAGGAAGCAGCCTTCCTGGGGTTCCCACTGCCTGCAGCCAAGCTTAATTAGAGCCCAAGGAGCCGCCTTTTCTGGCCCCAGCTCAGGCCCACAGCCCACCTCTCACAGGGGAGGAGACATTAGTCACGGCAGAAACAGGCTGAGTGGGCAGACAGGAAAAAGCCTGGCCAGACCCAGTGAATTATTAAGGCTTCTCTTCTCTGAAACCCGGGAAAGGCCCCTCTTCTTCCTCAGCTACAGTGAGCCTGCTCAGCACTTCCCAAGCAACCTGAGTCAGTCTCTGGAAGCCTGAGGCTGTGAGGTGGGCCACCACTGGCCCTAGCTACAGAGGGTCCTGGCCATCTCAGCCCCAGGAGGGGGAAGCTGCCTATGCCCGGCCCCACCCCAGCCCAGATGTGGGACCCAGATGCTGCATCCCAGGCTGGGGCAAAGCTCCCCTCATTCTGCCCACTCCCTGGGGATGCTCCCTTAAAATTCACCCCCAGACCACACGGTCCATTGGGGTTTCCAGCCCCCTTTCCCTTGGGCTCAGATGCCTGTTCTCCCCCATTTCCATTGTATCCCCCCATGTCCCACCAAGGTCCTTTCTTCTTCCTCTCTCAGAAAGCCTTCCCACATAAGAAGTGATATTTTTAAAGAAAAAAAAGGAAAGAGAAAAAAATGAGCAAAACAGGTCACCAAGTCACAGAGGTCTGAAGGTGGGTGCAGTTTGGGGCCCAGCTTGTTCTTCATAACATGACCGCATTCTGTGGTGGCTGTTTTGTGGTCAAACTCACCACTTCCATGGCTCTGGTGACTTCCCTCTGCACCAGTCACTAGAGCTCACCTGGAGGCACAAGCCTCATCACTCCTTCTCCCATGGGTGAGCTCTTTCAGGAGCCTCCATTTTGGGAAAGGGCCAGACCAGCCATCCCTCCTTCTCTGGACTGAATCAGAAGTTGGTCATCTACCTGAGAGCCAGTGTGGCTTCAGAAAGGGCTGAGGACAGTTGATATGGAGTTTGCTGCCCAACAACTCCAGGAGAAATGCCAGGAGCAGAAGAGGTCTGTACACAACATATGGAGATCTGACAAGGCCTGTGATACCGTCGGTCATGAGGGCTTATGGGAAATTATGTAAAAACTTGGGCTCCTAGAGAAGTTCAGCAGCATTGTACACCATTTCCATGACAGCACGCTTGCCCGGGTTCTGGATAATGGACAAGGCTCCCTCGCTTTCCCAGTCACCAATGAATAAAACAAGGCCGTGTGCTTGCTCCATGCTTTTTAGCATGATGTTTTCAGCCATGTTGTCAAATGCTTTCAATGACGTTGAACATGGCATCAAGGTCAGCTACCGCACTGATGGCCAACTCTTCAACTTGAAAAGGCCGGAAGCCAAGACCAAAGCGTAGGAACAGTTGGTGTGTGACTTTTTGTTCACAGATGATTGTGCACTCAATGCAGCCTCTGAAGCTGGGATGCACCAAAGTATGGATCGGTTCTCTGCTGCTTGTGCTCACTTTGGCCTACTAATCTACACCAAGAAAACACAGGCGCTCCATCAGCCACACCACACCGTCTGTACTTGAAACCATCATTTACAGCAAATGGAGAAGTTTAGAATGCTGTGGATAAGTTCACTTACCTTCGTAGTATACTTTCTAGGGATGTCCACATTGATAATGAGGTTGACACACACATCGCCAGAGCTAGCTCAGTGTTTGGGAGGCTCTGAAGGAAAGTGTGGGAGAGGAGAGGTATTAGACTGACTACCAAACTGAAGGTCTACAGAGCCCTTGGGCTGACCTCATTGTTGCATGCCTATGAAACCTGGACAGTCTGCCAGTGCCATGCCAGGAAACTGAGTCGCTTCCCTTTGAATTGTCTTAGGAAGATTCTGAAGATCACCTGGCAGGGTAAGATACCAGACACTGAGGGCCTTTCTCAAACAACATCGCCAAGCATTCCAACTCTACCACAGAGAGCACAACTCTGATGGGCTGGCCTGTTGTCGGAATGCCAAATGTACGTTTCCCTAAAAGACTATTTTATAGAGAACTCACACAGCGCAAGCGCTCCCATGATGGCCAGAAGAAGCGATACAAGGACACTCTCAAGGTCTCTCTGAAGAACTTTGGAATTTGGGGCAGCTTGGTGGCGCGGTAGATAGAGCACTGGCCTTGGAGTCAGGAGGACCTGAGTTCAAATCCGACCTCAGACACTTGACACTTACTAGCTGTGTGACCCTGGAAAAGTCACTTAACCCCGACTGCTCACCAAAAAAACCAAAAACAAAACCACCAACCAAGAACTTTGGAATTGATTGTGGGACATGGGAGACCCTGGCACAGGACCGCCCAGCCTGGCATGCTCACATCAGAGAAGGCGCTGTGCTCTGTGAGCAAAGCAGAGTGGAAGTAGCTCACAGGACACGCAGGATGCACGGATGTAGAGAACCCATCCCACATGTTCACACGGACTACCTGTGCCTGGCCTGTGGTGGAGCCTTCCAGATCAGCCACAGTCAGATGCACCGTAGCTTGACTCCAACACTGCGATGGCATTTGGGTCCTCCTGGAGAATGAAAGACCCCTGCCAATCAACCACCGAGAACCCTGACCAGAACTGAAGCCAAACCTCTTCCCTGTGACTCTGAGTCACAGCGCTTGGCTCTTGAATCGAGGACAGGGAACCTTGCCCTTCTCAGGAAAAGCCAGCAGAAAGCTTAAGCGTCTCTGTCCGGCATAGTGGAAGCTCTGTGTACTCCCCGTCTCCTCCACACAATGTCACGTGAGGCCGAGAATCCCTGTGGGCCAGACATGGGGAGGAGGAGATGGTCGGTGTCAGACTGGCTTGGTTTTTGGCAGAACGGGGGAGGAGGCAGGGCAGGGAAGCACCAGGACGCTGCACAGGCCTAGCTTCCAGGGCTCCAGATCTATTAATCCAGCCCTGACCTCTCTCGTGACTTCCGGACTCACATCTGGAAGGGAAGGGAATAAGAATTTATTGTTGGCGCTTATTCATTTCAGTGCTGGCTCATCCTCTGTGACCCCATTTGGGATTGTCTTGGCAGAGATGCTGGACTGGTTTGCCATTTCCTTCTCTCTCTCTCTCTCTCTCTCTCTCTTTTGACTAGGCAATGGGGTTAAGTGACTTTGCCTAGGGTCACACACCTAGTAAGAGTCTGAAGTCAGATTTGAACTCAGGAAGACAAATCTTCCTGACTCCAGACCTGGTGCTCTCTGCACTATGGTGCCCTTTGGCTGCCTCGAAGAATTTATGAGGCACCTACTATGTGCTGGGCCTCGTGCTAACCACTTTACAGATACAGTTTTAGTTCATTTATTATCTCCATCTGCCTCTTGGACATCTTAAACTCAACATGAATTCAAAGCTGGCCTCAGACACTTCATTGCTGTGGGATCCTGTCACTTAGGGTTATTGTAAGGACAAAAGCAATAAAATATTTGTAAAGCACTTAGCACGGCATCTAGCACACATTTGGTTTATTATTATTAAGTAAATTATTATTGGCACATTCAAAAATGAACTCCTTTCTCTCCCCCACCCAAAGATTCCTCCCTTCTAAGTTTTCCTAGTACTGTAGAAGGCACCACATCCTTATTCAATCAGTGGTTATTTCTAACTTCCCATCATCTCCTCTCCTCTGTCTCTGCTCCCACCTGGTGCAGACCCTCTGCCCTCAGGACGGGACTATTGCAATTGCTGCTGGGGGTTGGGTCTGCCTTCCTCTAGCTTTTCCCAGTTCGAGTCCATCCTCCATTCAGCCACCAAAGTGATTTTCTTAAAGCCCAGGTCTGACCCTGTCAACCCCTACTCGATAAACTTCTGTGGCTCCCTGTGGCCCCCGGCATCGAACACAGAACGCTCTGTTCTGTTTGACAGAACGACTGTCACGTCACAGCCTAATTTTGATGTAGGAAGTAAATGGAAACAAAGTAGCCGCTTTAGCCATACCGCTCTGGCTCCAGGATCAGCAGCGCCCCCACATGGCCATTCACGTAGTGGCAGCGATCACACGGTTACTACCTGGAGCGACCTTCGCGAAACGCAGTATCTGACCCTCAAAGGCCGCCATCGGATCGAGGTCATGTGCCAGGCTCCTCCTTTCCAAATTTGGGAAACATGGCGACTCTCATGGGCTTGTCGTCTGCGCTCCTCCGCCTCCGTCTCGGGGCTGTGCCGCGCGTGCCCGCCTGCCGTAAGACCGGGGCGGGGGGCGAGGCGGAGAAAATAGGGGCGCCCGTGCCCCGGAGGGGAAGGGGATAAGCGCTTCTGCCCCGTCCCCCTCCCCGTGTGATCTCTCCCCCCCCACACCCGACGCGGGGCCTCTGAGCCCTCCCTGCCCCCTCCTTGTGGCTCCCTCCCCCCCGACTCAGCGTCCCCCTGCCCCCATTCCCAGCCTTCCCCCCCACGCGGGGCCTCTCTGCCCTCCCTGCCCCCACCCACGCGAGATCTCCATCCCTTCAGGCTGCGTCTCCGGCCCTGGGAGTTTCCAGCCGCCCCCCAAGCCTGTCATTGAGGACAAGAGGCAGGAGCCGGAACAGGAGCGCAGGTGAGGGTGGCCTGGGTCCGAGAACTGGTTGTTTAGAAAATGATCCCGGGGCCCAGGACACCCACCAGCTTTGGCTTCTGCAGGTTCTTGAGCCCCGAGTTCATCCCTCCGCGGGGGCGGACAAACCCTCTCAAGTTCCAGCTGGAGCGCCAGGACATGCTGCAGCGGCGCAAGGTTCTGCACATCCCCGAGTTCTACGTGGGTACGTGGGAGTGTGGCTTTGGAGACCGCCAGCTAGCCAGTGTAGACGGGCCCTCTCACTCCTTTCTCCTCTCCCCCAGGGAGCATTCTGGCCGTCACCTCCTCAGACCCTTACGCTAAGGGGAAAAGCAGCCGCTTTCTGGGCATTTGCACCCAGAGGTCGGGCAAGGGCCTCGGGGCCACCTTTGTGCTCCGCAACACCCTCGAAGGCCAAGGTAAGTGTGGTCCCGGCTGGGCCAAGCTGACCAGCGCCCAGCGAGCTCCCTTGGCGTGCAGGTCTGCTGGCCCTGACCCCCTTCTTCTTGTCCCCAAGGGGTGGAGATCTGTTTCGACCTGTATAGCCCATGCATTCAGGAAATCCAGGTGATCAAACTAGAGAAGCGGCTGGACGACAACCTCATGTACCTCCGGGACGCCCTGCCTGAATACAGCACCTTCGACCTGGACATGAAGCCTGTGGCCCGGCCCCCCGGCCACGAGGTGCCCGTGAATGAGGTTGGTGGGTTCGGGGAGGGGGGGGTGAGGACGTCAGGCCTCTCCTCCCCCTCACACTGGACCCTCTTCCCTGCAGCTCAAGGTCAAGATGAAGCCCAGGCCGTGGTCCAAGCGATGGGAGCATCCCAAGTTCAACATCAAGGGCATCTGCTTCAACCTGTGCCTGACCGAGGACCAGGTGAAGGAGGCACAGAAGTGGAGCCAGCCGTGGCTGGAGTTTGACATGATGAGGGAGTACGACACCTCCAAGATTGAGGAGAAGATATGGGAGGAGATCGAGGCATCTCAGAGGTCCTGAGGGTGTTCCCATCCCCCATGGGTCAGTGCCAGGAAGGGGCCAATGTCAGAGGCCAGGTCTGTGCAGCGGGTCTTACCTCCCATCCCAGCCCACTCCCCAGCCTTCTCTGATGGAGGGTGACCCTCTGGTCCTCTCAGTGGAGGATGTGAGGAAGGCCTTTTACTGGCCAGGATGTCCATCCTGACTGACCAGAGCGACCCTCCCACCTGAAAGTGACGACCTGGCCTCACTATGCACATGACGCCCCCTCCTCCCTGATGAACCTGTGGCTCGCACACCAGCAAGTACAATAAACGTTTATTAAGCACCTACTGTGTGGCTAGACAATACACCAAGGGGGCAGGTGGTGACGAGGGTGGAATCAATCCTGCTTGGCCCTCCCCCAGTGGGGGAAGGGTCTGCACACCCACACCAGCAGGCACTCCGGGTGGGAGGGGCCTTGGGCCAAGGCTGCCCTCCGCCTTCCCCGTCACTGTGGCGCATTCACACATGACCTCAGCAGATCCAGCTGGTTTCTCTCCACAAAGGCTCGGGCCTGCATCAAAGCCTTCATTTTTACCAACAGAAGGACCATCTCTCCCACTTCAGACCTGGAGGCCGGAAGGCAGACTCAGCAGGATGGACAGACGGTGAGGGTCCCAGGCCTCTGTGCCTCCCTTTGGGGTCTGCCCGTGGGCATGCGAGCACTCACCCAAGCTCACTGTCATGGAGTTGCTGCGCTGCCTGCACCAGCGCGTTCGTGAGGCTGGCGAGCTGGGGAATGGAAGACCCTGCGTGCTGCTCACTGAACCAGCTTTTGGGGAGACTCTCGACCACCTGTCCAGCCACACAAGCTGCTCAGTGCTGCTCCCCGGCAGCGTCAAGCTGACCTTGTCATCCTTCCCAGGGTAATGTGGCGGGGCTGGGGCCACTGACCCTCCCTCAGCTCCAGCCCGGGTGCCAAGATGCCAAGCATCACAGATGAGGACACACCCACTGTGCCACCACCTCCTCCTCTCCCGTCAGTGGTCAGCTGCATCCTAGACACCTTGCCCTGGACTTAAAGACCCTCTGACCCCCACCACTGTCTCCTGAGTGCAGACTGCGTCTCTAGGCCACACTTCTCTTCGCTCCCTCCTCCACAAACCCCACCCCCTGCCCTGGAACCATCGTCCATGATCACTGTGCCTGGATGGGGTGAGCCAGCAGACTCCCTTAGCAGCTCCTCTCACCATCTCAACGTCGACGACTCTTTTGGCCCACAGTGACCCTTCCTGGCCCCCCCCCCGTCTCCTAGCAGTGTTGTGTCTCCATTAGAGCGTCAGCTCCTTCGTGGCTGGCACATGTTTATCCCCAGTACTCGGCACACGGCTTAACACGGGGCAGGTGTTTCTTACGTCCTTCCCTCCCATCCCTTCACCAAGCAATGGCTCGCCAAGGCCACCTCACCCTGCGGTACTTTTCAGCCACCCCTGGCCCAGGGCAGGCATTCGAGAGCCCAATGACAAGGTAGCGGTTCAGCAGCTTGTCCAGTACCAGCTCACGTAAGGCATCCTTCAGGATGAGGCCATCCCAGAGAAGAATGTTGCCCAAGAGCTGAAAGCAAACCCAAGGAGTCATGGGCATCCCAACCCCTGTGTGCCCTATTTCTGTAGAGGAAAAGGCACAGTTCTGACACACACACACAGCACCCCCACCCCTTATCTGACATGCCAGGGCATTGAGTCACATTTCACAGAACAAAGGTCTGTCAGAGCTGGGACCTCACAGGTCTGGTGTCTGAGGAGAAGGCCAGAGATCCCAGACCTCTCTTTACAAACCAAGGCCCCTCGGGCCCCACAAACGCCACCTGGGAGAGGAGGCCAGTGGCCATTCATAGAGGCACATCGTGAACAAGGGCATGCTGACATCCTCACACTCACCTGCACAGCTGACCAGAATTGCCGCTCCTGGAAGCTGGCGTGTGGTGAGGCTTTGTCCTCCACAAGCCTGGTCACCAAAAGGAAAGGATGAGGAGTCTACGTGAAAGCCACAGTTCCAGAAGCAAGACTCACTCAGCCTCAGACCCTGGTCCTCTCCTCTTTCTTCCAGTCTTGACCCTCCCTGTGGCTCAGGGACTCCCCACCTACCCAAGGAGCCCCCTGTGTTCTCAGGCAATGCCTGGCGCCAGCCAGCCATAGCTTAGGCATAGCACACACAGCCCTTCTTTTGCCATCCAATCCTATCCAGGGGGTTTGGTGTACCCAGGCACAGTGACAAGGCCTGGCTCCTCACGTGGGCACAGAGGTCACGAGAGTGTGCAGGCAAGATTGTGTGTGTGCATGCGTGTGTGTGTATAAAAACCTCTGAGAACAGAGAAATGAAATGAGCAAGACTGGACTCCACCACACAGTGAATGAATGGTTGCCAGGAAGCCTGTGATCAGAGACGAGTGACTTCCTTCTCTGCATCTTTTACCTCTTCTAAAAACCGGGAGGACGGGGGACGACTTCTTGACCTCTAAGGTCTTTTCTAGCTCTAAATTCTATGAAATGATTGGAATTTCATATGGGCTCATTACAAGCATTGATTAAGCACCTACTGTGTGTCATGCAATGGACTATGTGCTGGGGACACAAAGGCAAAGGACAATCCCTGCCCTCAAGGAGCTCACAATCTAACGTGGTTTCCTGTCGAAGGGGGGATTTTAGCTGGGACTTGAAGAAAGCCAGAGAGGTCAGTAGTCAGAGAAGAGGACATAGATTGATGGGGGACAGTCAGAAGATGGAGGGTTTTGTTCATGGGACAGCCAGGAGGGCAGGGTCACTGGATCAAAGAGTAGGGGCGTGGGGAGTCAAGTGTAAGAAGACTGGAAAGGTAGGAGGGGGAAGGTCATGAAAGGTTTTGAAAACCAAACAAAGCATGTGGTATTTGATCCTGGAGGTGACAGGAAGCCACTGAAGCTCTGAATAGGGCATGACATGGTCAGACCTGTGCTTAAGGAAGATCAGTTTTGATGGGGGATGAACTAGAGGGAGGAGAGACTTGAGGCAGGCAGACCCCCAGCAACTATTGTAATAGTCCAGGTGTGAGGTGATAAAGATCTATACCACAGTGAGGGTAGGGTCAGAGGAGGGAGGGAGGCATATAGGAGAGATGCTCCAAAGGTGAAATCGACCAGAGAGGGGGGAGAGATGAAATCAACAAGGGATGCTGCAGAGGTGAAATTAACAGGCTTTGCCACCAATATGGATATGGGCAGGTGAGAGATAGTGAGGAGTCTAGGGTGACTCCTAGGTTGGGAGCCTGGGGGACTGAGAGGATAGTGGTGTCCTTGATGGTAACAGGGAAGGTGTGTACGGAGGGTTTAGGGAGAAAGATGATGGGTTGTCTTTTGGACATGTTGAGTTTTAGATGTCTAGTGGATATCCACTGTCTGAAATGTCTGAAAGGCAACTGGAGATGAGATTGGAGGCTAGCAGAGAGTTTGGGAAGGAAAAGGTTTTGAGAATCATCAGGATAGAAAAGGTCATTAAGCCATGGGAGCTGATGAGAGCAACTCGTGAAGCAATCTAGAGGAAGAGAAAAAGGCCCACGACAGAGCCCTGAGGGACATGTGTGGTTAGAGAGCATGATCTGGGGGAGGATCCAGTGAAGGAGACTGAGGAGGAGTGGTCAGAGAGGGAGGAGGATCAGGGGTATCACAAGAAAAGTGAATGAGTAAAAGTGTCCAAGGCTGCAGAAAGGCTAAGGACAATGAGGATGGAGTAAAGACCACTGGATTTGGTGATTAGAAGACCACTGGTATTTATAGCAACTCTTTTTGTGGTGACAAAGAAATGGAAATTGAGGGGATGCCATCAACTGGGGAATGGCTGAACAAATTGTAGTATATGATTGTGATGGGATATTATTGTGCTATAAGAAATCATGAGCAGGTGGATTTCAGAAAAACCTGGAAAGACTTACATGAAATGATGCTGAGTGAAGTGAGCAAACAAGAACGTTGTACACAGTAACAGCAACATTGTGCAATGGCTGACTTTGTTAGACTTAGCTCTTCTCAGCAACACAATGATCCAAGACAATTCCAGAACACTTATGATGGAAAATGCTATCCAGCTCCAGAGAAAGAGCTATGGGGCCTGAATGCAGATTGAAACCTATTGTTTTTGCTTTTTTTTGGTTTTTGTGGCTTCTCCCTTTTGCTCCATTTCTTCTTTCACAACATGACTAATGTGGAAATATGTTGCCATAGTTGCATATGTATAACCTATATCAAATTGCTTGCTGTTTTGGGGAGGAGAGAGGGAAAAGAATCGGAACTCAAAATCTTATAAAAATTAATGTTGAAAATTGTCTTTACATGTAATTGGAAAAAATAAAATACTATTTACAAAAAAAAAGGGGTGTCTTAGGTCTTACTATTCCAGCATCTCAGATTAAAGAAACCAAAGTGGGCAATGAATATATCGCTCACTCAGGAAGCTTTTATTTTTTATATTATATTTATGATCATCTTTACTTTCAAAAACAAAAAAACACCAATTATAATAAAGCTAAAATAAGATCATTGGTGACTTTGGAGAGAGCAGTTTTGGTGAAATGATGAGGTCAGAAGCCAGAATGTAAGATGTCAAGCACTGACAGGGGAGGCATCAAGTGTAGACGGCCTTTTCAAGGAGTTTAGCCACAAACAATTAGTGGAAATGGAAGGGTAAAGTGAGGGTTTTTTCAGGATGGAGGAGACATGGGCATGTCTGTAGCCAGGAGGGAAGGAGCCAGTAGAGAGGGAGAGATTGAAGATAAGTGAGGAGGGTATGACAGAGTGGGCACACTGTTGGAGGAGGAGGGATGGAAGGTGATCTTTCAAGCAGGAAAACAGGCAGACTTTGGTCAGAAGGAAGGTGACCTCATCATGGGAGACAGGGGAGAAGGAAGAGAGAGGAGCAGAAGACACCTGACTGACAAGAGATGAGGAAGAGGGGAGAAGGAGCTCATGGCGAACAGCGTCCATTTTTTCTGTAAAATATGAGTCAGGACGTGAGCTGAGAGGGTGGGGGAGGAGAGCCCCGGGAGGTCTGGAAAAGCTTCAGTGGAAAGTGGGAGAGTTGGTAAGGTGGGGGGCGGGGGGTCAGGGAGCTTAGGCCACCAAGCTCACCCCAGCACGTGGTCCTAACCAAGTCTATGCACTAGAAACATCATTCCTCCTGCACCAGTTCTTACCTTTTTGGATAGAGGGGAATAAAGACGTCTTCCTCAACCGCCTTCTTCAATCTTGAAACGACTGAGTCCATCAGCTCCTGCTGTTCAGAGGCTAAGACCTCAGTAACTTAAGAAAGCCACAGAGAAGGTCCCTGGTGGTGCCTTAGGTTGCGCTCCCTGGCCTAGGGGGATGCCGGACTCCAGACTCGCCCTCACTTCTTTGGAGTATTCTGAACCCAGGTTCCTCCCTATGTCCTCCTTCCGAGGCTGAGTGAGGAGGTAGGAGCATCCCACTGCTGTGTTCTGTGAAACCCCACTGAAAGCACGCCCCCCTCCCCTGGCCCCAAGCCCCCCCAGCTCACTGGATACTGGGCCCTGGGGGGGAATCAGCATGTGGGGCCTCCGAGACCTCTGAGGTGAAAGCCCCAGAGCCTGCTGTCCCCTTTGACAGCGTGCAGACAGCCAGCCCCTTCTCTCTCTTTCCTGGTAGCTGGTTTCCCCGTCTGTCTTACTCTCCCCATCACCTCTGGCCGCCTCAGTCCTCCTCTCTCCCCCAGGCCCTACAGTCTAGCCAGAATGACCCCCTTAGCCTCCGTGCCTTGGCACCAGCTGGCTAGCCATTGGTCCTTACCACCTCTATGGCCAAGAAGCCGGGCTGCCATTCCAGGCTCTGCTCAAACACCACCTTCTACAGGAAGCCTGCCCTGATCTTGCCAGCAGCTCAAAGTAACCCTGTACCTATTCTGTGTCTACCTTTCTGTGTCCTCACTGCCTCCTGCCCTGGCTCCCCATGAGCTCTCCTGGGGCAACGAGGGAAACCTCCACCAATCTAGGGCCCCGTAAGGGGTCCTCTGGGTGTGCAGGGCCCACAGACCTGAGTGGCATGACTCCTTCTGCCTCGTGTGGCTGCACAAAGGCCAAGGATCTCCCTACAGTGCTGCACGAGGCTTCTGGTCTGCGACGTGGACACAGGGTCCCAGAAGAATCTGACAAAAACTGACAGAGACGTCCTGTCGGTGGCCTGGCACAGAAGGAGGCGGAGTCTCCATATCCCTGGCCCGGCCCTGCTCCCACCCAGGCCCTCAGGAAGTGCTGGCTGATGCACACATTAATGGCCTGGTCCTTTCTTCCCAGGATGTGATGTTCTATGGCTGAGGAAGCTACCTCCATGAGGGCATGGGCGGTCTGGCCTCCAAGAGGCAATGGGAGCATCCCAGCTCACTGCTGATACACATCAGTGACACAGATAGGCAGACCACCCCCTCATTCCATCACCAGAGGGTCAGACTCTGGGCCAGTGAAGGGAAGCTAACTGACCAAGGCAGGGTACACTAGAGTGAGAAGAGGCCAGGAAAAAGGAGGAAACTAGAGAAGTTTGGGGGAACTGCCCAAGAGTAAACAAGCTGGGGCCACAAAGGTCGCCCAGCTAGCTCTGTGGCCAGGCAAAGCGAGCAGGGCATCCCAGACGAGCCATTCCTCAGGCTGCCAGAGATGTGTGAGGCAGCGAGTACCCTGAGCACCCCCTTCAGTGGGCACCCAGTTGGCACAGTGCTAGGCACCGTGGTCTCTGCAAGGGGTCTCAGTGCAGGGGAGCCCAGCAGCACCCAAGTCAAGAAAGGGCCTGCCTGCCCTTGGCGTCAAAGGTGGCGCCCGCCTTGGATGGGTCCCTTCAGGAAAGTCTCTAATTAAGAGGGCCTGAAATGGAGTATGCCCTCAAGACCTGTCTGAGCCAGGGACCCAAGCAAACCACACAGTTCTGCCTTGCCCCGAGAGGTGCCCACTGGACAGCTCAGGGGCCATCATGGCCAATGCCAGAACGCAAGCAAAACTGGTGGCAGCCAGGGGTGCTGGCTAGACCCCCAGAGACACGCCCTAGCCTAGGGGCAGGTAACCCCAATTGTACTTGGTGCTCCCCACACTGGGTCTGTGGGTAGTCCACAGCTGAGGCCCAGAAGCCCAGGGCTCACAGGCTGACTGCTGGCCTACACCCATGGGCCTTGGCTGCCCAGACCATGAGGCAGCTGGTTTTCTAAGAAAACCACCGGGAAAGGAGGGAATACAGGCCATGCATGAGCACTGATTAGGTACCACCTGTGGATCACCGTGTCTGTGCTGGGGGCAATGGAGGCTTCAGCATCAAGGAGAGCCCCCGGGTTGGTGTCTGGGGCAAACACACGGTACCTGTGATGTGTGGCAGGACAGTCTTCTCCAGAGCAGCTGGCAGGATCTCTCCATCAGGGCTCTGTTCCTCACTCTGGGCAGCTGCCCCACTCTTGGCGAATCCCTCCAGGGACTGGAACCAGGGCATGCACTGCAGACTGACACAGTTCGGCTGAAGAGGAAACAAAACGGGAGAAATACCAGACCTCAAGTGGAGTCTGACTGGCCACTCTAAGCATCAGATATCCACACTCACGTCACCAAACCTGGCGCACCGAGCCAAGAGGACCGAGTTTGAACGCTCCCTTACACACTGCTGAGCTGAGTGACCCAGGGCAGGTCACTTCACTTCTCCTGGCCTCAGTTTCCTCAGGGGTAAAATGAAACAAAAAGAGTCTTTCCAACTTCCCAGGATTGTTGTAAGGAGGAAGCTAGAGCACTGATTATCAGCTCTTCTCAAACCCCAGCCCTGCAGATGGGGCCGGAGCCCTCCCTGGCCCGTACAGTGTGTACCTAAGACAGTACCTCTGAATGGTGCCAGGCCCACCTGGCCCATTCTGACCCCCAATTCACCCTCTTTCTCCTTACTGGGACTGCTTATCTCCATGGTCTCAGAATGCCATTCTTCTTGGTCAACCAATCAGTTAATAAATATTTATTAAGCACCTACTATGTGTCAGGTGCTGTGCTAAACACTGGGGATACAAAAAGGGGCAAAAGACAGTCCCTGCCCTCAAGGAGCTCACAATCTAATGGGGGAGACAACATGCAAACAAACAGACAGAAAGCAAGCTATATAAATGGGAAATAATGAACAAAGGGAAGGCACTGGAATGAAGAAGGGCTGGGGGAGACTTCCTGTAGAAGGCGGGATTTTAGGTTCCGATTCCTTAAGAGTCTGGCCAATAATGCAGATTCTTAAAATCATGCCCACCTTGATCAGTGTTCCAATAAACTTTGTCCTTGGCTGGAAAAAAAAAAGATGGGATTTTAGTTGGGACATAAAGGAAGCCAGGGAGGCCAGCAGCTGAAGCAGAGGGAGACAGTAGCAGAAATGAGAGACAGAGAAAATGCCCAGAGCCAAGAGATGGAGGATCTTGTTTGTGGGACAGCCACGAGGCCAGGGTCACTGGATCCAAGAGTATATGGCAGGGGATATAAAGTGTAAGAAGCTTGAAAAGGTATGAGGGGCTAGGTTTCAAAGGGCCTTGAATGCCAAGCAGAGCATTTTGTGTTTGACCCTGGAGGCTGGGGTTTACTGAGTAGGGGGTATGACATGATCAGACCTGTGCTTCAGGAAGAATAATTTGGTGTCTAAATGGAGGATGGACTGAACGGGAGAGAAACTGTACACAGCCAGACCTCCCTCCCCAGAAGCTACTGTCATAGTCCAGGTGTGAAGGGATAACGGCTTGAACCAGGGTTGGGGTAGAGTCAGAGGAGAGAAAGGGGCATGTGGGAGAGATGGTGCAGAGGTGAATCAACCAGAAATGCTGCAGTGGTGAAATCTACAAGAGATGCTGCAGAGGTGAAACAGTCCAGAAATGGTAGAGGTGAAAGTGACCAGAGATGCTGCAGAGGTGAAAGTGACCAGAGATGCCGCAGAGGTGAAAGTGACCAGAGATGCCGCAGAGGTGAAATCAAGAGGCCTCTGCACCATATTGGATGAGGGGAAAGTGAGGGAGAAAGTATAAGGAACCCAGGATAGCTCCTAGGTTAAGAGCCTGAAGGACTGGAAGGATGGAAACAGCTAGGCAGCACATTGGATAGTGTTAGGTCTGGAGTCAAGGAAGACCTGAGCCAGCCTTAGACATCTACTAGCTGGATGACCCTAGTTATCAAGATCACTTAACCTCTGTCTGCCTCAGTTTCCTTAACTATAAAATGGGAAGAATAATAGCACCTACCCCTCAGGGCTCTTGTCAAGATCAAACAAAATCATAATTGTAAAGCACTTAGCACAGGGTCTGGCACACAGTAGGCACTATATAAAAGCTAGCTATTATTATTATGGTGGTCCTCTCAATAGTAATAGGGGAGTTTCAAAGACAGAAGGGTTTTGGGGGAAAGATCACGAGTTCTGTTTTGGACACGTCGTATATGAGGTATCTACTAGACAACCAGTTGGAGATGCCTGAAAGGCCATTGGAGATAAGAGGCTGGAGGTCAGCAGAGAGACTAGGTCAGGTGAGGTGGATGTGAGAATCACCTGCACAGAGATGGTCATTAAATCCAAGAGAGCTGATGAGATCACCAAGAGAAGTAGTATAGAGAGGGCCTACGTCAGAGCCCGGGAGACACTTACTTTGACCTGGATGGAGAAGCATTCAAATATGGAGAAAGAGAACAGGAGAGAGGAGTGTCAAGAAATTCTAGAGAGAAAATAGCCAAGGAGGCCACTGGATGTGGGGATTAAGAGATCGTGTTTGGGTTTGTTTTTTTCTCTTGGAGTAGGGGGAGGTTGGCAAGGGAAAGAAGGAAGACCTGAAAATAAAATATAATTTAAAATTTGAAAAAAAGACCATTGATAACTGTGGAGAGAGAGGTTTCAGCTGAAGGATGGGAGGGTGAAGGGTCAGAAGCCAGGTGGCAGTTAAGGAGAGGGCGGGCAGAAGGTTGGGGGCCATGGTGTAGATGGCCTCAAGGAGTTTAGCCACGAAAGGCAGGAGAGACATTAGATGATACCTAGGGAGGACGGATGGACCAAAGGGGGGTTACCAAGGCTGGGGGCAGGAGGGAAGCAGACAGCAGAGAAGGAGAGAATGAAGATACAGGACAGTGGGACAACAGAGGGGGCGATCTGCTAGAGGAGGTGAGATGGCATGGGATCGCCCATGCAGGGAGCAGGCTTTGCCTTGACAAGAGGGGGCACCTCACAGTGTGAGACAGGAGTGAGCTCCATGAAGGTACAGTCTATCCCCTCTGTCTCTGACAGACCAGGACCACACCAAGTGCTGGATACATGCCTGCCCGGACCCTTCCCCGGACCCTTCCCCAGACCCCAAGCTGCCCCACCAAGGCTCCGTCTGTCATCTCTAGGGTCAAGTGCAGTGTCTTAGGCCTGAGCTCCCAGCCCCACATCACCCTTGGTCACAGGCCACATGCATACACAGTCACTGGGCCCTTCTCACTTTTCCCCCATTTGCATCCTGACCCCTGTTCAGTGTCTCAGCCACAAAAAATCCCACAAGGGGTCCTTCAGCCTTGGTTGGCGGCTCTCCAGGTCCCACGTTCAGGTCTGGCATCCTGCGTCTTCCCTCCCAGAACTCATGGTACTGGTCTCTGGGGCCAGGACCCCCCATTCAGAGACGTGAAGATGGTTCTATGTCCCCCCAAGCCTTCTCTCCTGCCAGCTCAACATCCCTGGCTCCTTGGGCTGATCCCCACTTGACACAGACACCCTCCAGACGATCCCTGACCTTGCTAAATGGTATGTCCACAGCTGGATCACGTTGAAGGCCTTTCCCATCCTCTTTGGAATTTCCACAGCAATCTCAGCTGGTCCAATTCACTTTGCACCTAGGTTTGAACTCATCCCCTACTGAAATCCTTTTCCCACTTCACTCTTCCTTTGTCTGAGCTGCCGGGGCTCAGGGCCCCAGGCCCAGGGTCTCCGCCCTGCCTCTGGCCCCTCCAGGAGCACCTGGCTGGGAAATACCTGTTATTTCATTCTGAGCACTATTCATGCCTCTCTGATCTCAACAGCTGGCCGAGGCCAGAGCTGCATGCAAGCATGGGGGAGACAGGGAGCCCCCCCAAGAGATCCAAGCCCAGCTTGAGTGCAGATCCCTGTGGACACCACCCAATCGTCATGTTCCTCAGGAAGCATAAATACCTTCAGAGGATTCCAATCCAACATCTGAATCCTTATGAAGGGACTAAAAAGTTTGGGCAAGCAGAGACTGGCATAAGCTTCATGATAGGAATCAGGAAAGCGTTCTCGCCATTGCTGGAATTTCAGCAAAATCTTCTGGACATCAGAAAATTCCTCATTGACATCTTCGAAAACACTATGGCAGCTTCGTAAAATAGCCCCTGCAGAATCAAAGGGCAAAGTCAGATGGGTCACGAGGGAGAAGAGCAAGGCAGTCTCCTCAGGTACGACACCCCTCCGTCTCGACCCCACCCCAGCCTGCCCAGAGACTTGGGGAGCACCATCACCATGTCCACACGGGTCCATCCATTTCAGAGGCCTCCCATCACCACCACCACCCACAAAGCAAGAGAGTGGTGCTGCCCCAGAAGGTGGGACCACGCCTACAATCGGCACCAAATGTTCAGAAATAAACAGGATCCCTCCAGGATTTCTCCAATGTGCACCCCCACACCTGAGGGTCTCCTAATTGCCAAACCAGGAGTGTCCTAAGCAGCCATGGCTCCAAAAAGGCAAAGACCAGGAGAATGGGGCAGAGCCAAGAAGGCTGAAGAGCAGGAAGAAGTACAGAGTCCCTCCCCATCCTCAAAGACCTGGAAAACTCACCAGCCTGAGTCAAGAAGTCCAAGGAAAAGTTCCCAGGGAGACAAGAGGCCCCAAGAGACTGAGGCCAGGCCTGGCCAGGAGGGCACTGGGCAGAACCTTCCAGCCCAAGGATAACACCAGAGGCAGCCTTCCATGCCAAGGAGCAGCCAAACAGGAGCAAGTCCAGAAGCAAACACAGCCGGGCCTGACACCCGGGAAGGCAAGAGCTCCGGGCCTCCAGCCGGCACAGCTGAAAGCAGCAGCAGCTCACTGGAGTTCCAGCTAGGACGCGCCCACAGATGTGTTACTCAGGCCCAAACCCTGGTCAGGGCAGCAATCGGACTTTAAAAACTCCCAAGTCCCCAGTCTGAGTTGTCCCTGGGAGTCTGAGTTAACGAAACACTCAATACCCAAGGAAGCAGCAGTGGGACCAGGCCAGATTTTCCCTCCAGAAGTATACAGAGCCTGGGCCTAGTATCAAGTCCAAAATCAGGAAGAATCCCATCACAAAGAGCTATTATGGTGATAGAGATGGTCAGGATACAAACCCAGAAGAGGAGGACTCCAAAACACCTACAAGTAAGACCTCAAAGAAAAACATAGCTTGGGCACAAATTCATTTAGACTTCCTGGAAGGGATGAAGCAAGAGTCTTACAAAAGAGTTTAAAATGCTTTTACATGAAATGTGCACACTGGAAGACAAACTTAGAAAATAAATAAGAAGGGCAGAGCCGAGTGGTAAAGGGAGGCAATCCCCACCCCACCCCAAACTCAACCAAAAAGACCTAGAAAATGCACCAGACTGAATCCTATGGGGAAATCCAAGAAAAAAGTCACAGTGATTTTTTCCAGTTCAGACTGGCCCAGAGAGACCATAGAGAGGTCTGAGGACTGTGCAGACAAGGCCTGGCGCAGAGAACAGGACAGAAGGTGGGAGCCGGAGCAAGCAGGGGCCCCAGAACCATGCCAGGGTGTGAATTGGCCTCTTTTGTCCACAACCCAGTTCCGGGTCACAAGTCCAGGCTGGACTGACAAGAGGGCCCACGCTGTACCACACCCTCTACAGCGATCTCATACCCTAGGCAGTAAGTATACTGAGAGGGAAGCCATGTTCAGAAAACCAGCAGCAACAGTGTGGCTTGGACCCTCAGGATCACAGCAAGGTCTCAGTTTCAACCTCTAACCCAGTCTGATGCTTGCAGAAGAATAACCAGGGCAGGAACCCCAGACCAAGGTGGAGCCGGCAATTCCACCCCTCTGAGTAGCAGAGCCTCCCAGCTTGCCTACAGGGGCTGAGCCCAGCCTCATCTACTCCTATTCAGACCCAAACCTGGTCAGGAACTTGCAGAGTTCAGAGCAAGTGGGCAGCAGTCACACTGAGTCCTGGATCCGACCACTCTGGGGGTATTTTATGCTCACAAGTCCGCAGCCTGAGCTGTCCTTGAGATACTAGAATACTACAACACTCAACACCCCAGCAAAGGAGCAACAGAACCAGCGCAGAGCCTAGTCCTAATATCAAATCCTACTTCAGGAAGTAGGCTGAGAGAACTGGCAAACAAAAAAGAATCCCACCTTAATGAGCTATGATGGTGGCTGGGATGTTTAAGACACAAATGCAAAAGAGAATTACTTCAAAACATCTACAAGCAAAGCCTCAGAGAAGAAGACAGCTTGGGCACAAACTCAACTAGAATTCTTGGAACAGATGAAAACAAAGTTTAAAATGTTTTTTGACAACAAAATGAAAGCACTAGAGGGAAAAAAACTAGAAAAGAAATGAGAGCTATGGAAATGAGAAAGAACTGGAAAGGTATTAACATAATGGCACAAAAGGCAACAAACTCCCTGAAAAGTGGAACGAACCAAACAGAAGTCAATGGCTCCAAGAGGCAACAGGAAACATTCCAATAAAGTCAAAATACTAAACAGAACATTGAAAAAAATGCAAAAACAACTGATCTGGAAAATAGATCAAAGAGAAAAAGATTTAGGAATCACTGGACTATCTGAATGACATGACCAAAGCAAACAAACAAACAGAGCCTGGACATCCTATTTCAAGGAATCTTAAAGGAAAATTGTCCAGAGCTCTCAGAATCAGATGGCAGAGAGGAAAGAATAAGAGCCTACTAGTCACCTCCCGAAGAAACCCCAAAGTAAAAACTCCCAGGAAGATGACAGATGAAGCTAGAGCCTCCAGATCAAAGAACAAATCCTGCAAGCAGCCAAAGAGCCACAGCAAGGATCCCATGTGACTCAGCAGCCACCATCATAAAGAAAAGGAAAGCTTGGAATATGCCTTTCCAAAAGGCAAAGGATATAGGCCTATAAGCCAAGAATAACCAACCCAGTGAAATAGATCATAATGCTACCAGGGGATGGAGGTGGAGGTGGGGGGGAATGGACCTTTAATGAAATAGAAGATTTCTGTGTATTCCTGAGAAAAAAGATCACAGCTGCAGAGAATTTTTGAAGTTCAAATACAGGAGTGAAGAGAAACATAAGGTAAAAAAGAACAAACAGTCATAAGGAACTAACTATAGATAATCAATCAATGAATCAACATTGAAATGCCCATTATATGCCAAGCACTGTGCTAGGTGCTAAGGATACAAAAAGAAGCAAAAAATAGTTCCTGTCTTCAAGGAGCTTACTATCTAATAGGGGAGATAACAAGCAAACAAAAATATACAGACAAGCCACTGGCAGGGTAAGCAGGACAAAATTAACAGAAAGAAGAGAGGTTGGGGAAGACTTCCTGTAGAAGGTGGGATGCTAGCTGCAACTTCAGGAAATCCAGGGAGGTCGGCAGTTGGAATGAAGGAGGGAGAGCACTCCAGACATGGGGGATAGCCAGAGAAAAGACCTAGAAGCAGAGGGAAATGGAGGCTCTTGTTCACAAGACAGTCAGGAGGCCAGCGTCACTGCATCAAAGAGTACCTGTCCGGGAGTCAGGTAAGAACACTGGATAGCTACGAGGGGAATCTGGGTCGTGAAGGGCTTCGAATGCCAAACAGAGCATTTCATATTTGATTCTGGAAGCCAAAGGCAGCCACTGGAGTTTACTGAGTTGGGCATGGGGTGTGTGTGACATGATCAGAATTGAGATTTTGGAAAAGGATTGTGGTGGCTGATGGAGGATGGACAGGAGTGGGGAGAGGCTAGAGGCAGGCTACTAGTCCAGACGTGAGGGGATGAAGGCCTGCACCAGGGTGGGGCCAGCGTCGTCACAGGAGAGAAGGGGGAAGGAGGCATATAGAGAGATGCTGCAAACATGAAAGCAACCAGAGATGCTACAGAGGTGCAACTGACGGGTCGTGGCACCGTGTTGGATATGGGGGCACGAGCCCGGGAGAAAGGCAGGAAGCCAGGATGATTCCTATTTACACTCACACAGACCAGCGAGACACACGTCCCCTCATCCCCATTGGGGGTCACAGACGAGTCCAATGAGACAAAAGGCCTAGCCGTGGCTCCAACGTGTCTTAATTACAGCAAAAGAAGAATGAGAAAAGAGGAGAAGAGGGGCTGGGGGGAGGGAAAGGAAGGTCAAGGAAAATTATCAGGTACTTGGGGTGCCGAAGCAGAGCGCCACACAAACCTGCAGGCAGGGCTCATACTGGAACCTCACGTTCATCTGAACACACACACACTATACATGTATGCACATACACAATATACCACATACACCTACATACATACCACACACATACACATACCACACATGTACATATACACCACATGCACATATGTACACAATTCACACAGACTCCATATATCTTCAACTATATACACCACATATACATACACAGACACACTGCATACACACACGTATACACAACACATGCCTCCCCATATACACGAATTTACCATATGCACACACACTCCACATACACATATACCACATACCCCACCACACACACACACACTCTCCCATTTATCACCCCTAACACACATACCCATCACACATACCACATACCCACACCTCACAAGTGCATATATACATACATTCACATATACCCCACACACATACATATACACATTCACACACATATACCCCACACATGTACACATACTCACACATGCCATATACACATAAACCATATACATTACATACACCACATTCCCACACCACACATACACAAATATATACATACGTGCCTATTTACACTTGTACACGTACATACATATACACCCCACTTACACACACATATACATACACACATACACACACACACACACACACACACACACACAAAACTGGGTACAGAAATACATTTGACTAAGCAGGGGAACCGGAAGGAAAGGGGAGAAGGGAAACAGGTGAAAGAAGGAAAGTGTCCTAAGCCAAAAAAGTCTAGCCCCAAATGCGCAGCAGCATCTCTCTGGGCATTGGCGGACCAGCTCTCCATTCACACTCACTCTGAAGAAAGGAGGGTGAGGAGGGTTCTAGAGAGTGTCAGGAGAACCAGGGGACAGTAACCCGGTGATTAGAGGAATGGCCAGCCAGGATTCCCAAGGACTCGAGGGGACACGTGGGCAGCCTACCACCCACCGGCTGGCAAGAGAGGACACAAAGGGACACAAGGGACACGTGTGTTGGACGTGGCCAGCAGGCAAAGTTTTGCTGCTTGACTGGATGTGTTTGTAAGAGCGGTTCTGTTTCTCTTTCTTTCTCAATTGGAAGGGGGCAGAGAGGTAGAGAAGGCAGGCTTCTGCTGACTGATTGAAAAAATAAAATTGAATTAGCATGTTTAAAAGAAAAACAAGCCAAACTACCGGAGGAGCAGGCAGGCAAGGAGCTAGGTGGAAGAGTTTCATGGAAGCGCATGCCACCATGGACAGTGAGCACTGACCTTGCCTTTCCCGGAAGTTGGACCCCTCTGATGGAGACATGCTGTCGCTGTCATTGTCACCATCGCTAGACATGTCTTCCTGATGCTGGGACATCCCCGAACTCTCCCTGGCTTGTCTTCTTCGCATCCTGCATTTTATAACAACTATCACCCTTTCCTCAACAAGGGACAAAGAGCCGTCTCAGAGTTGGAGAACAACCATCTGTCCACAAACCTCGGAACCCTACCACGCACTGCCCAGGACACCCTCCCCCAGCTCTCCTGCCCTGCCTCTCAGGAGCTCCCCTGTGACTTCAGAACAGAATCACAATGCTAAGAACACCTGAGAGAAGACGCCATCAGAGTAATGCCAGGGCTGTGAGCCTGTGCCCGCGGCAGCAGGTGGGCTCGGGCTCAGGCTCCACTAGGCTACCTGCGGGCAGCAGCCTCGTCTGGGAGTTTCTGGGCGCCAACATCCTCTGCCAAGCTGCCGGGAGCTGGGGCGTCGTCCATCTTTCTGGCTAACGAATGACAAAGAGCATAGCGCAGAGCCCCATCCACCCCACCATCAGGCCTGTGAGGCTCCTCCTGGCTCCGCTCCCTGCAGACCCACGCTGACCCCCTGGAGCTAGAGGAGCCCAGAACAGTCTCCGTCTGCCTCCCTCTCTCTCCCTCCCTCTTCTTCCCTCCACCATCAGAGTGCTCTGAGCTTGGGACATGAGGACCTTCCTCACCCCAAGCCTCCCGAGGCCACGCCCTGCCCCTTCTCAGGCTTGGGTCCCTGCTCCCACGCCTCTGGAGGGATGTGGATCCCCAACTGGTCCTGGGCACGTTTGCTGTAATCTGGAGTGGAGCCCCTTCAGGGAAACTCAGAAAAGCCCCTGTTTCTGTCCCTGCCCTCAGTAGGATTCAGGGATGCTGCCTAGTGGCAGAGGCATCCAGAATAGAACTCATGGCCTTCCCACCAACCACCTCCTCCCAGGAGTCAGTCTGGGCTCCCCATCCAAGATGGCGCCAAGGCCTGAGCTTTCACCTCAGCAGCACCTCTTGGACATGCCCCTCCTCACGCCTGGACTATGGCAGTTGCTGCTGGAGAGGTCTGTCTGCCAAGAGTCTCCCCCCACTCTCATCCATCCTCCATTCAGCCCCCAAAGGGATTTTCCTAAAGTGAACATCTGCCCACATCTCCCCCCACCTTGTCCCCCCCGCCCCACACACACCCTAAACTCCAGGGGTCCCCTATGGCCCTCAGGATCAAACACAGACTCATCTGTCTGGCCCTCCAGGCTCTTCACGACTAGGCCCTAAACCCACCTTATCCTACACAATTCCCCTTCATACCTTCCCCACTGGCCACATGCTCCTGCCTCCCCTCTGGTTTCCTCAGGACTCATGCGGTCACCGCTGACCCCCTCCCACCTCCCCCACCCCCTGCTGCCAGGTCCTTCTCCTGCAAAAATTACCTTGTCTCTACTTTGAATCTGCTTCTATCTGGCCCCTGGCCCTTCACTGGGACTCCGAATGGGGCCGTCTGAGTGATCAGTGAGTGACTCACCGTGCAGGGCCCAGGAAGCCCCACCCGTGTGCAGCCGATGAGCCGAGGCAACTGGCCTGCCAAGCATCTGCTGCATTCTAAGCCCCATGACCCTACCCTCACAAACATCCTGGGAGGAGAATTTCTAGCCCTCATCCTACAACCGAGGTCAGAACCTTAGCAACATCCAACTTAAAACTCAGTCTCCATTGTTTTAAAGTGCATAAGCTTTGTTTTTCACCCACACTAGAAGCACTTGGCTTGGAGTCAAAAGGGCCTCCCTGGGACACATGTGGCAAGACTCTCCACGCCAGGAGCACCCCATCCACCTCACCTGCCAGTCGCTGTAAGTGCATGGCTTCCTCCTGTAACTCTGCCTGCCGCCGCTTCAGGGAGGAGGCAATGCGTTCTTGAAGGAGGGAATGCATGGCTGACTCTAGCTGCTGAATGACCATGATCTGAAACATCAGACAACAATCAATCAGAATAAAAAGGCAAACAGCAGCGGGAACTTGGGAAATGTACAAAAAGAGGCGTTCCTTCACTAACAACAAGAACCAGGGCCCACAGGAAGACCCGGCTTCGAACAAGTAAGGGAACAGAACCCAGGTGGGAGGAGCCGGCTAGACATGCACATCAGTCGTCAGCCCCCAGCCACGCTGCAGGTGTCACCAGCCACAGCCTCCTCTGCCAGCCAGGCCTCCACTGCGAGCCAGGCCGCAGTTCAGGGGCCCTTATTTCTAATGTGCTTTATCAGAGACAGAGTCAGCGCACATAAACTCCCCAAGAGGGCTCCTCTGCCAGGCCGGCACACGTGTTCGGGGTTAGCGGCACTCTCTGAAGTCTACTTTCTGGGTTCCTCGTTGTCTACGTGGACAGCAGAGTTTCCCAAGGATTTCTCGAATAACTTTGAGTCCCTGAGTGGGACAGACTAACCACCCTGTGGGCCGCGCTGCTGCACATGCTCACTGCCTCCGTGCCGTCCCCAGCCCAGCCAGCACCAGTGTCCCTAGCATAGGATGGAGTTTTTTCCCTTGTCTGCATCACACATGCAGTCAGTTGGGTCAGGCCTGTGAACACCTGCTCAGGACCACATTTTTAAATGCATAAAATAGAACACGTGGGATTACAAAAGAAAGCCAATTATACTGAAACATGGTGATCAAAGTATTTAAAACACAAGTTTATGGAGCCCTGGTTAAGAACCCCTGCCCCTCCCTGGTGAATAGCAAAGAGCCACCCCATCTGAGACCCCTGAAAGTCTATCCCACACTCAGAACAGAGCTTAGCGACACGAAGCCACAAGACAGGAGCACGGGGCTGAGTCAGGGCTTTAAATCAGGGCTTTAAAATCCCCTCTGAGGCCTCTTCTGCAGCATGGGAGGGGGCCTTGGGGGGCCCTTCCAACCCTATGATCATCCAAGCTCAGCCAGGCCCATAACCCTCAACCCCAAAGCCTCAGTTTCCCTCACCTGTAAAATGGAGATAATTCGCCGCAAGGCTCACCAAAGTGTGCCCGGTCCCTGCACTAACAGGGCTGAGACTCCGGCACCCAGGTGGCAGCCCCTCCCTCACGTGCCAGAGCTGATGGCCAATCTAAGGACTCCAGCAGCATTCTCATGGATGGGCTGACCCTTAGAAGCCAACAGAGACCCTGGGAGGGGCCTCACAAAGACACCTCCAACCACCTCTCCCAGCCAGGGCCAGGGGCCCAGGAAGCATGCCCCATACCTTCTCACTGAGGCAGTCGACCAGGGCGGCCAGGTAGGCCTTCAGGCCCCTGTAAAAGGCACATGTGGGAGCCGGGTCAGGCACTTTCTCTAGGTCCGCGATGGTGTTCTTGGCACTGTCCCTGTCCTGCAAGACTCTCTCGTACTCCCTCTGGTGGGAATGGTGCACACCCTCCAAGGATGCCAACCTAAACCCAGGGACCAGAGGCCAGTAACTCAAATGCTCTTCCCCCACTGTTGGCAACCAGCAGATGGCCCAGCTGAGCATGGAGTAAGGCAGAGGGGTCTGAGGGTTCCCCACAGCATCTCATCCTGCTGGGGACATGGACACGCAGCCTGTCTCAGAGCTATTGCTGTCTCACTCTCATGGCCTGGATCCCTTCATACCCTGCCTTGGTGACCTCCCTGGCTCTAATCCCTATATGTTCCCCCACATGCCCCTCCCCCTGCCTCTGATACCTTCATGCCCCCCCCTTAGTGACCTCTCCCCCAGCTCTGATCCCTTCACGCCCCCCCCTTAGTCCCCCGGCTGTGATCCCTGCATGCCTCCCCCTTCATGTCCCCCCCACCTTTGATGCCTTCGTGTCCCCACTCAGTGACCCCTCCCCCATCTAATCCTTACATGCTCCCCCTTAGTGACCCCTCCCTGGCTCTGATCCCTTCAGGCCCCCCCCTTAGTGACCCCTTCCCCAGCTCTGATCCCTGTACACCCCCCACTTCATGTACCCCACCCCCGCCCCTGATGCCTTCACGCCCCCCCTTAGTGACCCCTCCCCCGGCTCTGATCCCTTCATGTCCCCTCCTTGGAGTCCCCCCCACTCTGATCCCTTCATGCCCCCCTTAGTGACCCCTTTCCCAGCTTTGATCCCTTCATCCCCTGCCTCGGTGACCCCCCCGTTCTGATCCCTGCATGCCCCCCTTAGGAACTCCCCCCCATTCTGATCCCTTCAGGCCTCCCCTTGCTGCCTCCCCCCGCCCTGGTTCTGCACCATTCAGCTGCTCCACCAAAAGGCCCCCACGTATCTACACATGGTAGTTCTCTGAGCATTCTGGACACCACTTACCGGCTACTGAGCTGTTTTTTGATGATTTCCAGGTTCACGGGGGGAAAGGACACAGGCCCGTCCAGGGTTCTCTTCACCACATGACGGTTCTGCACCTTGAGGCCAGGGTCAGGTGCCTAGCACAGGCAGAGAGCACAAAGGTCCTTTCCCAAGCCCCTCCCAGCATGAGGAAGAAGGCCCATGTGCCTTGGAGCTAACCTCCCTTCCTCAAGGCCCAGAGTATGGTCCCCACCAAGCCAGCACCACCTTCTCTCCTGGGCAGGAGTTGGGGGCAATGGGTCTGTGACCTCGTGGGACACTGTCAGACTCCGCTGACGTGGCAGGTAGTTTCACCAGCCTGTTTTTTCTTTCTTTCCTTGTTTTTGGTTATAAGAACAGCTCTCTGGGCAGGGAGAGACAACGGGAAATGCCGGGGATCTAGAATGCAAAGGTGCCCATAAACAGGGGAAAAGTATTTGTCAAACTGAATTAAATCTATCCATGGAAGAGAATGTGGAAAGCTAGGCAAAAACCCTTCACTGAAATGAAAATGGCGGGAAGGGGCCCCCACGCCAGTGGGACAGTGCCCATGGTGGTTACAGGCATAGCCTTCACTCCCAGGAAGGCCCTCCCTCAGGCCACCCACCAGGCACACATACCACGTCTGTGACTCGCAGGGCCTTCCTCATCTGCTGGGCCTCCCAGACATCCAGAGCCTCCCCCTCGGAGCCCCCCTCCTCCTGGCCTTCACTGCTGGAGGCTAGAATGAAGAAGAAAGAGCTCGGGAAAGCCCCATCCCTCGGACCTCTGCCCGGGCCTCAGCCCCTTGCCCACTCGTACCGCCCCTCCCCCCCCCAAGTCCCTGCCCCTCCACCAAGCCCCACAGCTCCCTCTTTCTTCCTGTAACACAACATCTCAGTCACCAAGTCTGGGCCGGGCCAGGGCCCCCCACCACACCCCTCTTCTGCTACAGGCATGATGCTGCATGACTTCCCCCAACAAGATTCAGTGCAAAGGTACTGAGTCTGAAACCAGAGGGCCTGGGTTCAAATCTTGCCTGTGACACCTACATCAGACCTGCGTAACCTTGAGTGGGTCACCTCCCTGGGCCTCTGTTTTCCTCCCCTAAATTGAGGAATGGAGTCATATTTACAAGAGGAGGCATTCCCCAGCCACTAAATGGGCAAAGGACAGGTATCGACAGAGAGCTGCAGAGGAATAACACCAGTTAAAGTGCCCTCTGAGGCTCTGCCTCACGCCCATCAGATTGGGACACTCACACCCTGTTGGTGTAGCTGCGGCTTCACAGGTCTGCAACAAGGACCCATGCCCACCCTCGGTCCTAGGCGCACCCTAAGGAAACCAAAGAATACAGAAACGCCCACTGCAGAGCGTCAGATGTGAGCACCAGGGAAGGGGACGGATTCCCAAGGGAGGCCCTCACCTGCTTCGCCAGCCCCCCGCAGTCTCAGCATGTGGATCCCCATTCCTCTGGGGGTGGGCCCGACGTCAGAGTCGGTGTCGCTGCTCCCCTTCTGATCCAAGACATGGTCCCACGGCCTCTCGCTCAGTGGGAGGTAGTCCTCTTGGGCCGTGGCCCCCCCTGCCGCTGCCTTCGGGTAGGGTTGGCGAGGCTGCCTGTGACACCAAAGACCAGCAGCGTCAAGGACCCTGGTCCGGTTGATGGCAGACCCCCTGCAGAGGACCTGGGCCTCCTCCGGGCCGAGGCTCCATCTCCCGCACACAGAGCCCGCCTGCCCAGAAATCATTGCCCTCCTTTCCTTCCCGGCACACAGGTGACCCTGCCCTGAGCACTCTCAGCCGGCGCTGCAGGCTTCCCCACTCTGGTTCATGCTCAGAACCAGCCGCAGCACCCCTGGGCCACCCACGGCCGGCCGAACCGCTCTGCTGAGGAGGTCCCAGACGACCACCCCCTGCCTGTGTCTGCCCTCAGAAAAGAGCCTCTCTCCTGCTTTCACTTCCCAAAGACTGCCCAGCCCCCTCCCCTTCTGGTCATCCCACCCCCCAGGTCACAAGCTAGCCAGAAGGCGGTGCAGGCCCCAGGAGAGGAGGTACCAGGTGACCTCATGGCCCTAAATCTATGGCCTCTGCTCTGTGTCTTCTCTAAAATGGCCCCCACGGTCAGGGGTGCCAAGGGTCGGGGAGAGTCCCTGGGCCACCCAGCCTGGGCATCATCCCCCAGCCAGGTCCAGGAGGAGGAAGCTTTGGCCACACTGAGGACTGACCCATCAGAAGACTCAGAACTGAGGGCTGTCCGTGGCCCCAGGGACCTCGCACTGGCCCTGGTCTGTCCCATGCTTCAGCATCGCTGGGCAGGCACATCAGTTCTGCAGGGGACCCCAAATGGGGAGTGCCTCGCATCAGACTAGGAGCTCCTCGAGGTCAGGCTGTCTTTTCTCTGAATGCCAGGTGACCACCAACTAACCACGACCCCAGGACTGGTCCCTGGGGGCCCTGCAGGCTAGGCCACGCACCTGACCAGTCATCCTGCAATCCTGGGGAAAAAGATGCCTTGCCAGACGAGCCGCTTCCCAAGAAGTCACGGGCTTCAGCTTCAGTGTCCTTGTCCTCACAGGGAGTAGCAGGGTGAGACTCTGGGGGTGAAGCAGAGGAACCACAATCCTGGTTAGCCCCAGGCACCCAGAGGGTGAGGACCTCAAACAGCTCAGTCTGATGGGGGGGGGGGGGGCCCAGCCTCAGTGAGGCCAAGACCAGCCAAAACTGGGGCCCTCCCAAGTGTCTGTGCCCTCCTTGGCAGGATGAAGCAGATTGCAACCTCTCCCTTCCCTAGCACATAGCACAGCACACCCTGACCTCAACCCCGAGGCCACTCAGACCTCCCCAGGGTGGACCACCATCTACAGCCGGTCCTGGAGCGCCCCCGCCCCATCCCCTCAGCCAAGCCTCTCCCTCCTCCAGCTTCCATTAGGGGTTAGAGCAGGAGCGCTCACCCACCGGAGGAGCCGCCATTCACTTCTGGAGAACTGGAGCAACTTTCAGATGCGGCCCTGTGCACATCTGGAGGGGCAGGTCCAGACCGAGAGGTGCCTGGAGACAGAGTGGACAAGTAGAGCCATGCCCCTCGCTGGATGGAAAGGGAACCTGAGGCAGCGCAGTGTGGGGTGGGACTGGAGATTGTGTCCTGACAGTCTGAGAGCTATGGGGCAGGGAGGCCAGGGCTGGGAGGGGCCCCTCGCTTGACAGATGGGGAAACTGAGGCAGTGTGTTGGGGGGGATCTGGAGAGGTGTCCAGGGGCTATGGAGGCCATGCGGGCAGAGGGGCAGAATGGGGGGTGGGGAGGTTGGGGTGTGTCTGCGTAATGACCCTAACTTGCCAGAAAAGGAAACTGAGGAAGGGGTGATAGGCAGACCCGCTCCATCCTTTGCCCCGCCCGCATAGCCTCAGTTTCCTTCTCCCTATAACCAGGTGAGGGACCCCTGTGTCCGCATCCTCACACAACCCACGTGCGGGGCCTCTCCCCACAGAATCGATGAGATCATGCATCCACAAGAGAAGCATGTCGAGGAAAAGAGCTCTCGGACCTTGATTGACTTTCCCTGACGCTCCCAGGAGCACCACGGTTGCGCATGCGCCAGAAATCCCCGCGCAGGCGCGGCCACCCACCCAACCCCAAGGCTGCCCCAACACGTACCTGTGCGGCGCGAAGTTGCCCATACATGGGCGCGGCCTCGACTCCGCGGAGCCCCGAGTGCGCGCTCGGAAACGCGGCCACCGAGGCCCAGATCAGGGCTAGGCCCAGGGTCAGAGTCGGGGTCAGAGCTGGAGCCGGAATCTGCCTTGCGCTGGCGGAAGTTTCGCGGAGGTCGCTGAGACATAGTCTACACTATGCGCCGGCGCGAAATCGTCTTCGCTGGTTCCCGCTCCCCGCAATCTGAATAAGACACTTTCCGAACGAGGCGCCTGCGCAGTGGGCCCGCACGCCATTGGCCGGCGGCCCCGCGTGGCTCCGCCCCCGCATCATCCGTTCCCCAGCCCTGGGGGCCTTACTCCTCTCTGGTTGTGCAGCACACTGAGGGTTCTCCTGGCAGGGAGGACAGCGCGAGCAAAGGCCCAGGGGCGGGAGATGGAGTCTTCCTCACCTCAGTTCCAGCCTATCATCCTCCTCCCTCCAACGAAAGTGCCCGCATCAAAGTAGCCAGGCATCTCCCAATTGCCACTCTGATGATTGTGCCCCCCACCTCCCTGTTGCCACGGTTAACCACCTGGGGTTGGTGGGGAAGCAGAGAAAGCTGCTGCAAGCTGGGGGGTGGAGTTCGGGGGGCTGGGAGAGAAGTTGGGGCCCCCAAGGTTCGGGCTGAGCCTGGAGTCAGGCCACTTCAACTGCATGTGGCTGGAACCTGACTCCCACCTTGACCGCTCATCATTGATGGATCATCGTGGGTCTTGCCTCCTCTCTGTCTCCGCATCTCATCAGGCTTTCTTCAGTAGCACCTAATTCACCTGCCTTAAGCCCCTTCACCTGGCCAGTCATCCTGGCTTCCCCGTTCCTTCCTTCCTGGCACTGCCACCCCTCCAGCCCCCTCAATACCATCCCCCTTGCCACAGTGCCGGGCATATAGTAGGGGCTTAGTAAGCGTTTATCGATTTTGCATCACCTAGCTTGCAATGCAGCCAGTCATCACTTTTCTTTAAAACGTGCAAGTCCTAGAGACCCTTCGTTCTGCCAGGAGACAGTCACAAAGTCTGTTCTCAGCTGTTGGCTGTCTCAGGACTGACCCCTAGGCAGCTTACCAGCAGGCAGCCCCTTTGGAGGAGGTGACTTGATTGAGTTCCTAAGGGGAAGCAGTCACAGCCTGGGAGTAGGCGGAGTCGTAGCACATGATCAGTACTGGTGACCCTGCGCCTTCCCCAACCCTGCTGTGGATGAATGTCCTCCCAGCTCCACCTGCCCCAAGGTTCCATTGCTAGGCCCCTTCTTGCAAGAAGACCATCCCTCTGAGATCTCCGGGACTTCTCCCTCTGGCCCCTCGAATCTCACCTCTCCCCTTTATACTTATCATATCTAAATAGAATTTATTGTTACTTTTTACACCTTCCATCGCTACCTGCCCCAGAGGTGGATGTGGGGTGGGGACAGAGCAGCCCCCAGAGCTGTGGAAAACTCCCAGGAGCTGAATGAATGTCTGCTTGGGGGGGGGGGAATTGGGCGCACCCTTCCTTGTGGCAAGGTGGACATGGGATGCAGAGTTTCTTTCTTAAACAAGTCTTATCCCCCGAGCAACCCAGTTTCCAGCACCAGTGTGCAAGCCTTGAAGACCAGTCACACCGCAGTAGCTGTGTCCCTGAGAATCACAGTCCTCACACTAGCCAGCATTCATTCTCACTCACCATTGTCCTGTGTCCCATGTGGAGAAAGAGGGGTTGGGGGTGGGGCCCCAAAAGCCAAGGTCCTGGAACCCACCACCCAAAGGGAAATGGAGAAATGGAGAGCATTTGAGGTAGTCGTCAGAGAGAAGCTAGGCCAGACTGGGGGCACAGGCATGTGGTGCACCACAGAAAACCAGTTGAGAGGACATCTAGCATAGACAGCCTTTGGGAGAGTTTAGCTATGAAGGGCAGAAAAGAAACAGGATGCTATTTAGCGGAGGGAACAGTCAAGAGAGGGTTTTTTTCAGATTGAGGGAGATATGGGCCTGTCTGTAGGTGGGAAGGAGGGGAAGGAGCCAGTAGAGAGGGAGAGAGTGAAGATTCTAGTGGGCTGACAAGGGCTGCTGTCTGCTGGAGAAGACAGCATAGGATGGACTCGTTTGTGCTTTGGCGAAGGAGTACAGTAATTGCTTAGTGTGAGGCAGGGGAGAAGAGAGCAGAAAGCACCTGAATGCTGCCAGATGAGGAGGAGGGGAGAAGGGGAGCCCTTTGGGACAAGCCTCTTCGTTTTTCAGTAACAAATGAGGCAAGCTTTTCAGCCAAGAAGCTGGGGCTGGGGGTACCACGGTATGTGTGCAGTGTATGCAGTAAGTGCTTTGTTTAGTTATTCATTTATTGTATTTGCATCCCAAGGGCTTAGCTCATTTCTTAGCACTTAAATGCATGTAGGTGGTAGGGGAGACAGGCTGGGCTTGGAGTCAAGAAGACATGACCTCAGGCATTTACTAGTTATGTGACCCTGGGCAAGTCATTGAACTTGTTTGCCTCAATTTCCTTTCCTGTAAAACAGAGATAAACATTGTGCCTACCTCCCAACGATCAAATAAGGTCATGTTTGTAAAGTGCTTTTCACAGTGCCCGGCACACAGTAGGCATTTAATAAAGTGTATTTGCTTCCTTTTCCATGTCTGTATGACATGGCTCAAGCAGCTCATCACACTCATTATTACTCCCCTTTTGAAAGTACTGCCTGAGCATTTCCTGACCTGCTAGGACAGGACTCCCTAGTCTTTTAGCTTCAGGATAATCATGGCAGTCATCAGCATTTCCCTTGAGAAGTTTACAGTCGTCTATATGCACAAAAATACTTATAGCACCTCTTTTCTGGGGGCAAAGAATTAGAAATTGAGGGGATGCCCATCAATTGGGGAAGGGCTGAACAAGTTGTGATGTGTGATTGTGATGGAATACTGTTGGGCTATAAGAAATGATGAGCAGGATACTCTCAGAAAAACCTGGAAAGACTTGCATGGGCTGATGCAAAGTGAAATGTACTGTGTACAAAGTAACAGCAATATTGTAAGATGATCAATGTGATTGACTTGGCTATTCTCAGCAATGCAACAATCTAAGACAGCTCTGAAAGACTTATGATGAAAAACACTATCCCGTTCCCAGCTGATGGTGTCTGAATACAGATTGAAGTATACTCTTTTTTTTACATTTTATTTTTCTTGAGCTTTTTTTCTTGTCTGTGTTTTCTTTCACAACATGACTATTATGGACATGTTTTGAATGACTACACATGTATAACCTGTATCAAATTGCTTGGCTTCTCAGTGGGGGGGGGAGAGGGAGAGAATTTGGGACTCAAAGTTTTAAAAACAAATGTTAAAAATTGTTTTTACATGTGACTGGGGAAAAATAAAATGCTAAATAAAAGGAAAAAAAAGTTTACAGTCATGAAAATGACTTCCTCAGCACCTAGTACCCACCTCAGAAATCCCAGAACTCCCCTTGTATTTGTTGTCATGACTGCTTCTGGGGGAAGGCCAGAGAAAGAGAAATTCCTTTCCTTTTCTCCCTGGAGTCCCTTCATAGCATTGGATGTGGGGCTAGGCATGGGTGAGGCATGAGTCATTCCACTCCTCAGCGGGAGTGTGTCCTTGCAGAGCTCAGTGGCCTTGCTTTGAGTGACAAAGGACATGAAGCCCTCCAGTTACAGGGTAGTGAGCGGCCCTTGTGTGTGTAAGGTTCATGCCTACACTTGGCAGTCTGCACAGAATGTAAGTGGATTTGTGGGAGGTTACACTCCTTGTATCTATCATGCTTGCTCTTCCATAGAAGTGGACGAGCGTTTGCTAAGGAGCTGCATCTGCTGCCTTACTGTTAAAGAGAAATAGAGCAGTGAGGGCATCTTTTTCTTATGTCTTTTTTGTGTTCTGTAGTTAATAACAGTGGATAATTATAAGTATTTAATTTCACAAATAAAATGAATTTCATTTATTTTCACTTTATGGTTAATTTTTATCTATAAACAAAATACCATTTTTCTTGTTTAAATATTTATTTTGGCTAACATTTGTAGACATCGATGACATCAATGCTATCTATCAATCATTATTAATTCTTAGCCCCAAGGGTCCACAAAGACTGATCCACAATTAGATCTACAATTGTTGGGATCCAGAGGCCTCCCAGGCAGGGAGACTTGGGTTGCCCCCGCCTGACACCACCTCCAGGCTGTAGAACGCCTGCCAGCAGGTGGCATGACCTCCGCCCGGCCTCTGTTAGGGCGCGTCTACCAGCACTGGTGGAGCGATTGTCCCCACCTGGGAGCTCCCAATACCAGGAAGCCTGGCTCAGGCCCAAAGTGTGAGCACGTGCAGGGCATTCGGAGGGAGCCGCCCCCCTCCTGGCCAGGCCCCGCCCCTCCTGCTTGGTCTTCAGCTTCTACAATCCCATCCCCTGCCCTCCCGCCCCGCCCCGTCCTCCCAGTCTTCCTGGAAGGTCTCCTTCGTAGGCCCCGCCCCTCTAAGCCTCGGCTCCCGCCTTGAGTCCCGCCTCCAACCCCGGCCCCTCGCTCTCCCAGTCTTCCTGGAAGGTCTCTTTCCTAGGCCCCGCCCCTCCTGGCCTCCAGAGTTTCCCCTCTGGCCCCGCCCCTTCGCTCTCCAGGCCCCGTCCCTCCCGGCCTGTCTTCTGCCTCCACAGCCCCATTCCCCGGCCCCGCCCCTTCTCTCTCCACGCTCCGGCCCCGCCTTCCATCGGGACGGCCATCACATGACGTCCTGGCGGGCGCGGTGACGTCACGATGACGCCGCGTGACGTCGGGGCGGGGCCGGGCGGCGCTGACAGGAGGCTCTGAAAGGCGGCTCAGCAGCTGCCTAGCTCGCGACTCGTGGCTGGTCGGCCCCTGACTGCAATCGGGACCCCTGCCGCGGGTCCCCGCGGGCGGCCAACGGAGCAGCGGAGGCAGAGGCGGAGGCGGAAGCGAAGCGAGCGGCAGCAGGTGAGAGCGCGCGGGGGGGAGCGGGGGCGCGCGGAAGCAGGAAGCAGGAAGGAGGCCCGCTTCCGGTGGCGACTTCCTGGCCCCGGGGGCGGGGGAGGCGGCGGGGGCGGCGAGTCGTGGACGCGGGGAGGGGGCCGCCCACGCGTGTGCCAGGTGACACGGCCCCGGGGGGCGGGTGTCACGCACCCAGGACCCCGCGTGTGCGCAGGACGCGAACCCGGCGGCCGGCCGGCGATCCCGGGGGGCCGCGCAGCCGGAGCTCGGGGGGGGGGGACGCTGGGGGCGGGGGCTCTGCGAGGGCGCCGGGCCGCACCGTCCCTCCCCCCAGTGATCTGGATGTAATGGCCCTCCCGCTGCCCCCAGCACCCCCATAGCCCCCGCCCTGGGGCAGACTCCCCTCTCCCCTTGGGTCTGGACCGTTGCTGGGGGGTGCTGCCCGCGGTCTCTTCTCCTGCGGTCCGCTCCCCAGGTACGCCCCAAAGTGACCATCCTGAAGCCTGGCTCGGACCCTGTGTCACCGCCCCCCCCAGGTTCCAGGGGCTCCTTCAGCTTCGTATCTAAGACCCTCTCCCCGTCTCTGATCCGGTGATCCCTCCATCTCTGGGCATTCTCTGTGTCCGTCGCTCCCGACAGCTGACCTCCCTGGCTTCCTTCTAGTCGAGCTAGAGTCCCTTCTCCGGGAAGCCTTCCCTCTGTTATTTCCCGTTGATTCCGCAAACAGATGGTTCTGTCGTGTTTGGTTGCACGTTGTCTCCCCGACTAGATCGCGTGATCCTTGAGCGCAGGGACCGTCTTTTGCCTCTTTGTGTCCCCAGAACTTAGTAAGGTGCGGCTACATTGTAGTTAATAAATATTTGTTGGCTGTTGATTAGTCTTCATTAAGTGTTTGGGACTAATGTGAGACGTATTGGTGAGTTAACAACGCCTGGGACGGGGCCTGAGGTCACACGAAGAGAAAGAACGTGGAAATCAAGGTTAGAAATCCACGAGTTCTGAAGTTGCCGGCCGGCTGTCCTCTGAAAATGTTCCAGTAAAGGAAATCAACCTCAAATAACAGAATCGTACCAGATAGAAGAACTGTGGTGGTCAGTTTACCGCCCTTCCCTTTGTAAACTTAGAAGTACTAACTACTCGTCAGTGAAGATTTATCAAGGGCCTACTGTGTGCTGGACAGGGGGAGACATGAGTCAAAGGCCTTTCTACCTTCTTTCCCTTCTTTCAACCCATATAAGCATATACACAATAAATCCATGGCCATTTTTTGAGGAGAGGGGTCTGAGCATCTGAGGAGACCAGGACAGGCCTTTCATGTGCTAAGAGGTAGTATTCAGTTGGCTGAGAAGGGGAGGGATGTAAATCCGTGTGTGCTGTTGGGATTCTGGAATTCAAACAGGAGCCTAGTACAAGTTACTGTGTTAAGAAATTGAAATAAGCCCCTGTGCTGGTGTGACAGAAATGGGTGTTCGGGACAAGACAGGGTAGAAGTCACCCTGTTTACCTTGGAAATTCTCAATAAAATTTATGCTATAGATCAGGAAAGGAACCTGTGTAGCCCAGTCCATCACGTGGCCCAGAGAAATCAGCGGTCCAGAAATGTGTTTGAGCTTTGAAATAAGTGTGGCCTCCAGGCCAACAGACCCAGCGTAGCAGGGTTTTGTCCAGAGGCACCTTTTCTTGGTGCTGTCCAGATGGTGGTGGGGGTGGCCTGGAGGTGACTCTTGAGGGTTGGAGCAGTTTTCCAAAGGCTGCCCTCCAAAATACATTGTTCTCATTTTGCAGGTGAGGACACTGAGGCTTAGGCACTATTAGATGTGGGGTTTGGACCTTGCTTCTCTGACCCCATTACGTTCCACGTTGGTCTCTTTCTCTGCCTCTCTTCAGCCCTTAGCATTCCCCCACCAGCTTGGCTGCCACCACCTTTTCTCAGACCCTCAGAACCTCCAGTGGCTGCCTCACACTTCTTTCTTTCTTTCTTTCTTTTTGTTAGGCAGTGGAGTTAAGTGACTTGCCCAGGGTCACACAGCTAGTAAGTGTTATGTGTCTGAGTCTGGATTTGAACTCAGGTCCTCCTGACTCCAGGGCCAGTGCTCTATCCACTGCGCTGCCTCTCTGACACTTCTCAAAATACAGGCAGGGCATTCCAGGACACCCGCAGGACTTTGGCTTTGGCTGTTCCAGCTGTGTAGGCCATGGGTTCCTTCTCCCTTCATGTGGAAGATGCGGGGTGGCTTGCCTTAGCCAGAGCGGGCTTTGCCTTTTCTTGCTTCTTTGCCAGACACTGATCCCCCTTCCCCTTAATAACCACTCCCCCCTCCTTCCCCCCCAACCCCACTAACACAAACAGCAAGACCTGGCTCAGGTATAAGGTCCCTGAAGATAGCTCTTGATCCAGCCAGTCAGTCCAGAAGCATTTCTCGAACACCTACTGTGTGCCAGGTCCTGGAGATGAGAGGACAGAGAACCCAGCAGAAAGGAGCTTCCAGACACTAACAGAAAGAGAATCAACACTAATACATTCAGACTGAAGGCTTGGGAGAAGGCATGTCAGGAAAGTCTTCCTAGAGAAGGTGGGACTTGAGCTGCGTCCTGAAGGAAGAGAGGGATTCTGGGAGGCAGACGAGGGAGACACAGCCAGGGCAAAGGCACGGAGGTGGGAGCCCCGAGTATCCATTTAAGCAGCACCATTGGGTGTGGGAGGGAGGCCCCCAAGCTAGGCTGGGGCCACATCATGAAGGGCTTCCAAAGCTAAGCCCAAGTGCACATATTGGAGTGCCTAGGCCTGAGACATGCACTGGACATGAGAAAGTCACTTGGGCCACAGTGTGTGGAGTGGCCTGGGGTGGACAGAAGCCAGAGGCTGGGTGACCAATGAGGAGGCCGTTGCAGTGTGCCAGGCGAGGGGAGGTAAGGGTGGTCAAGGGTAGTCATTTTCCCATCTCCCCTCAAGCTGGAATCCATCTTTCCTTTCTTGAATACTCCACTTATTTGTGGACTTTTCAAACCCCTTCTGTTATCTACTTAAACTTCCTGAGGGCAAGGGCTCTCAAGTTTATATTCCCAGCCCCAGTTTCTCTTCTCTGGACGCATCCCTTCAACACCTCAAATGGGTCCATGCTGATGCCCAGCATTTCCCCCTTAAGCCTGTCCCTCCTCCCACCTTCCCTATTTCTGTCGATTCTACCAGCCTCCTCCCAGTTCCAACCAGGCTTGAAATGCCAGAGCTGTTGTGGCCTTGCCCTTTTATCTCACCCTGCAGCCTCCAGTCGGGTGCGAAGGCCTGGCATTCTGCTTTTCAATATCTCTTGCATCTGATCCCCTTTCTCCACTCACATTGACAGTAGGCCCTGACTCCTGACAGTGCCCTAATCCAGGTCCTCACCTGGTCTCCTCTGGACCATTGTAATGTCCAGCTCGGGTTCTTCCCAGCGTCTTGTTTGTAAATGTGTAAAATACAACCTGGAGGGTTATAAAGGAAACCAATTATATTGAAGTATTTTTAAAACGGTCCAGCTGTGCCTGGCACCCCACAGTGCGATGGTGTGATGCCCACCAAGGGAAGTGCCTCCTTCCTCTGCGTTTGGCACTGTAGGCTCAGCCTCAGGGTTTCAAAGTGCTTGCCGTCCATTCTGATGGAGAAGACAACATGCAATGTTTGATGAAATATTGGCTCTCCTCTTAACGAGAATGTGTCCAGCAGCTGCAGCCCAGTTCACTGGCCTGTCCCCCAAGATGTTTGTCTTTTGGCAGGCCCCGGACACCTCCCCCTCCTGCTGCAGTCTGTCAGAGATTCCTGGCTGTCACGCCTGCCGTTCAGTTCCTAGGGATTGGGTTTGCCTGGGCAAGGTGACATGCATTTATGTTAGGACTCTGGGTCTTCTTACATAAAGGGTGGGGAATATGCAGGTGTGCAGTGTCTGAGTAGCCAGTCCCTTTTTGTTTCTTACCCTGAACTGTGTTTTTCAGCATAGTTTTCGTAGCTCTCCCTGTTGGCCTCGTGTCTTTCTCTCGAGGTTACAGAGTGGATATCTGGCTTTGATGTGGAGGGTCTTATCAAGGCCTTTGCAGGGTTTCTCCTCTCCTGGATCTGCATCAGCTGGAGCTGTCTGATGGGGGTGGGGGTGGGGGTGGGCCAGCTCCTCGTGCGTCAGAAAGGTGAGATGACCAGCTCTGCCAGGAAGGATTTGCCGTGTAGGTGCCCAGTAGAGCCCACTCCCTCACTCCCATCGCTTGCTTCTCTCAGGACTGCCTTGGAGGCTCCCTTCCATTTGGCTTTGGTGTATGTTTATAGTGAGGACATCGGTGCGGGGGGAGCTGGGCCTCTACCCACTTGTTTGGTGTGGAGCCAAAAAGCGCAGATATAGAGAATCTCCATAGGGCAGTGGATGTTGTAGGTTGCCACAGACCTCTGTGAATCTTTGTGCCCATGGCCAGTCACTGTAGAAGAGGAAGGGATCGTCCAGGCCTGGTTTCCCTTTATTTCATGGGGTGCAGTCTACCAGTCATTAGTTCATCTTCCTATGGCCAGCCTGCTGGGGAGGACTGGGCCTTTCCCAAGAGTCAGTCTGGTCCTCAGCCAGCCTGCAAGGGCTGTCACCAGTGCCCTCCTGGAAGCCTTTCCAGCTGGGGCTTGTGTGTCCCTGGCATGTTCTTTGGGAGCCCGACATGAGCATCAAAGTAGGAGGGTCTTAAAGGGAATTTTTCTTAAGAGGGACATTGCAGTGCAGATAGATGTGGCCTCCCTTTGCCCTATTTCTTCCCCTCAATGGGTATCCCCTCTTTTTCTGTTACATGAAAGGACTGAAGCATGTTAGTGAGGCTCCTTCTCGCTGTCATGTTCTAGGCATGGGTCTGTTATGGACCAGAGAGTGGCACCTTCGTTGGGGAGCACCCTAGGGCACGGCCTCCTCTATTTCGGGATAGCTCAGCACCGGTGTCCACTCTTGACCCTTTTTGTCTTTTTGGATGGCTTTTTACCCTCCGTCAGAACCTCGCCAGCCCAA